GGCTGGCTGCTCAGGACCGGGATGGTTAACGTACTTTGGGGGAGGTTGACGTTCAACAGAGGACGACAACAAGCTAATACTGTTTATTGTAATTCTTCTATCAATGTCAGATACGCGAACTGAGCGTGTTCCACATAACTATGATTTTCATTTTCTCATCATATATCTAAATTTAATTATAATGTAAAAATATTTTATTTCGTCTTAATAACGTTATTATTATTTATTATATATAATTATCACAGGGCACAGGGAGTAGAAAAGAATATTGATGGAAACCAAACTTAAGGATGTCTACTAAGGTACTAATTATGTTGTTGGATGGTCAGATTCATTTTAGTACATTCCATTATTGAACCGTTGTTAAGATTGAAATAGTTTTGACAATCCTCATTAAACTATTTATTTACATACGTACGCACTTATGAAGTTATACATTTAAAGTGTAACAAAAAAAGTAACTTAGATTTTATCCCCAGTGTCATTACTCATTCTTTGTCAAAAATACATTGAATGCAATTGATAACGGTTTAACTCCATTATAGGTGAATGTCAAAAAGGCCGCTTGGCAACAAACTTCATCATGTCGTTGTCGGTCTGCACGCGCATCGTAAAATTTTTTCTCTCATTATATTTTTCAAACGCGCCAAAAGAAGTATAACTTCCAAAACAGAAGATTCTTTTTTTATCTGAGTAGGTAGCAAGCGAGCTGGTGGTTAAACTGATGTTTAGTGATAACCGGCGCCAATGGACATTTGTAACAACCGTAGGGTTGCAGATGCGTTACCTTTTAATAATGCCATACAACCTTATAAAAACTAACCATTGTAAAGAAACTTTCCCATTTTAATTGTATTTTACTTACTGTTGTTACTACTAGGTATATATAGGCAGGTATACTATACATATAAGCACATAAGTACAGTTAACGAAAGTATAAAACAATGCCTGCGTATAGGCACACGCATACAAGAATACGAAACAGTGCCATAAATTTCTTTTGTTATTCGGCGACACGGTATCTACACGTATTCATAATAGGTGAGATTGGACTAGATTTAGTAGGTCCCAACCCTAGACTTTGGTTAATGAGACCTCGAATCTTCAGACACTTCACAAAAAAAATTATATTACTCGACTTTTTTTCACTTAAAATATTTGGAGACATTTTGCTAGGGTTGTGTTTAAAAATAGTAACAATTTATGAAAAATTTTTGAAGTGAAAACTTTCATCGGAACGTTGTGCAGGTTTGGATGGGTTAAAATTCTTACTTACATATATTTTCAGACATTTCGTCTCGGTAAAACAAACTTTCTAGTTTATCGATACTTATTCACACATTTTTAAATTTAAATTCTGTAAAATTTATAAGAAAAAATAATTAAATGTTTGTGTTGTTATTAGTCAGCCTGTAATTTTTTTTTATTCCAGATTAAAATCAGTTCGTACTAAAATATCACCCATTGTGCCACGATACTTGAATACTGTTGTAGGACCAGGTAACAGTCGTCTCGGTTGCACGAAGTCCGTCTGGGTAAGTACAGACGCAGAAGACTAGCGTGAAATGGAAGTGTTATACTTCTGTGCTTCGTCTAGTTACTGAGTAGCCTGAGCCTCCGTTATTTTTAATAACTGCGTTATTGTTAAAAATGGCAACGCCGGATGGAATGGAAAGGCCTCAGTTTTTATGGCTTGCCAAGACAGACCCTGTGGTTAAGAGTCATCCATATGTATGTGAGCGGTTTGTCCGGCGGGATGTGAGCGATGCCGATGATAGTTTTGATGAAATTCATGTATCCATGTTCGCTTCGAGTATCACGAACATTTATCGCAAAAGGTTGGTAAGATTTTCGCAATTACAGCGTGTCTTTACCATCGCGACAATAAATGAACAACGTTACTTGCCAATAATCATAAAAAAATATTAACGTTAAAAAAATCCATAATTCAAAAAAATATTTTTCAAACAAACTAATTAAGTAAAAAAGAAACAAAATTTGTAACATCCTATACAACTACATCTGATTGATTCATACATTCAGAGACTTTTTCATTTGTTGCCACATCGTCGCATTACAAGCCTCTCCTAACAGTATGTTTTGTCTCTTTTAAATTCATTTAACCTATTCATATGCTTTGTCACCTTTACAAATAAACTTTACATTCAAGTTTTATACGTAAGGGTATTCGAAAATTCTTTGTTTTGGAAAATTTGAAACTCGTTAAATGTTTAAAGAATGCAAATCTTTAATACAATTTAAAAGAGTTATCCTCTCTGTGTGTTCATTTATTGTCGCGATGGTAAAGACGCGCTGTATAACTATAAGTTATTTAATAGTTATATAATAACAACTGAATCTCTACAACTTTTTCAGCGTTGTTAACTATAACCAAGTACTAATAGGATCTTAGAATTTGTCTATGGGCTATCGACGAAGGCGGGATTTTGACGTGTATTTTATACGTAAGACATAACGTATATACCGTAAAGATCATGGATAAAGGTGAGACGAGAGAGCCCTGCAGGATTCCGCCTTTAGTAGTAGGTTAAAGAATATGTATGACTGCCAGAACGATTAAACAAAGTTGTATTATCTGCAAGGAGAATTGTATCTAAAACCATAAGTACGAATAGCTTGTAAACAAAGAGAAAAGGGGTGTGAAGTAAAGATTTCAAGGTGTTATACCAATAATTTATACAACTTTAAAATGCAAATTGTGTAAGCCTTCTTTTCTGGCAAACTGAAAAGATTTTGCTCTAGAGAAAAGTACTAATAAGTTAGTAGATAGCTCTAAAACTATGCACCAACCAATAGATTTTTTTTTTAATTTTAAAGAAATTATCGCTCAACTGAACCTGGGATGATTTAGGCATTTAAATGTTCGATGGCATTTTATATTGATATGTGTTTACAGTATATATAATATAAATCCTTACATTATATTTCCAACCATATTTCAAATACACAGTTTAAAAGAACCTGTAAGATCTGCCAGTACTATTCAAACATTTGATGAAGCCAATTTAAGTTTCAAAGACTTTTTAGGGGTTCTATACCTCAAAAGGTAAAAAAAGAACCCTTTTAAGATCAGTCTCTTGTCTGTCTGTCTCTTCATGTTTCACCACCGATTTTCTCACAAAACTTGTAAGTACCCAAATTTGCAACATTTTTATTTTTCAGAATTTTTCTTTTACATGTGCTGTAAGATCTTGCTTTTAACCAAAATTGACAATTATAGGTCAAAATATTCCTTTTATTTAGACGCTTGCGCGTTTTTATGAAACGTCGAGTTTTACATAAAAATTGATATAAAATTCGTATGTAGAGTGTACGTAATTTGTGTAAAGATAAACCTCTAAAAAGTTACAAAAAGGTTGAGTGTTTCCCCATACATACAAATACAATTACGTACAAGATAACGGAACCCTTCGTGAGCGAGTACGACTCGCAATTGGTAAAAATTTATAAAATGTTGGCTAACCCCCACAATCTTGTTCAAATACTTCTGTATGTACCATGTACAATTTTACATATGTTTGGTTTATTGGAATGTATTTCAATAAAATAGACTATTTAAGTTAAAGTATTATTAATTTCAACACTAGCCATTTGTTTAAAAATCAATGTATATTATTGTGTATAGCTTCTAAGAAAGGTAATCAAACACATTTCATTCAGATAAAACGAAATAAGTTTCATTTAAACAAACATAAATTTAAGTAGGTACTTAAAGAATTCTTGTATCCTTAAGGTGTTTCATCCAGTATTCATTGGAATATTGGATGAAACACTGTAGGTATACAAAAATAAAACTTGTTGGAAAAATTGCAGCCTCCAGTCATAGAGGTGAAGGGAAAAAAGGTAGACCCGATTTAAGTTAGTATAATAATAGTGTAAAAGTAGATTTGATGTAGTATTTACGTTAATGATCTGCATCTGCAACCCTATGGGTGTTGCAAATGATGGGCAGGCGGTTATCACTTAACATCAGGTGAACCGCCAGCTTGTTTGCCTCTTTTTCAGATAAATAAAAATAAGATTAAATTGAATATTTAGCATCAATAAATTCTCCTACATATTCACCTACAAATTTTATGGGTATACCCATAAACATTTGAATATGAAATATATAGATAGCGAAGAGGAACCATTAAAAAACTATAATACTTCATGTGAGTTTCAGAATGTACAAAGTGATTATAAAATATATAGCTATAGAAAAACATACATTTTAAACATTTCTTAGAATATCACTCCACAGGAAAGCTTTCCTTATCAAATAATAAATGTTGACTAAAAGTATACTTGCAGAGGAACATCTAGCCCTTTAGTTTAAGTAATAACATTAATTAAATTTACTATTGCATCTTTTACTTTCATAGATACAGATTCCAAAAATTAAAGAATAACCAATGATAGTATTAAACTTCAGGTAATTAATGTAATTATTATTTACGGACTTAAAACATGTTTAAAAGTTCAAACACAGTAGTCAATTCCATCCGTACACAATATCATTTCACTTAAATTAGATGAAAATATAGTTTGTGCAAAATATAAATAACATTTTGAATGTTTTAGTGTTTACACTCAAACAATTAAATACTTTAGTTTACTTACAAAATTAGATTTCTTAATGCATGTATTAAGAAATTTTTGTAATCGGGAGAACATGGGCAGGTTTTACTATTGTTACAACGGATACGGCTGCGAATAGTTTGTTCCTATTGTACCATATAAATAAAACAAACAAATACCTACATACAAATCAAAATAACGTCCATTAACGTTCAAAATCGCGCTATACATCGCTATTAAACATATGAAGTTACATAAATATTGCTCCAATAATATTATTCATGTTGTCATAGAAACAAACGATTTTAGTGATTACTGTAGTAATTCGTAGAATAATATATAGAAGCCGATTCCACAGTTAAAAAAACTATATGATTTTTATATAATGTACACACATGCTGAATAAATAAATTTGTTACCGTTTAAAGTGCTCTCTTATTCGATCTTCACGTATGTTATCGGGTAAATTTCCAACCCACAGGTGCCGAGTCTCTCTAACCATCTTGCTTCGAACTCCACATTAGGAATCATTACCCGTTCGCGTCACTACGTGGCAAAAATCAATTTTGCACACCACTGTGCTACACGCATTTTGATTTAATCACTTGAAAAATATACTATTAACATCATGCCGATCACACAAGTTGCACTTTTTGAGAAAACAACACTATGTTGCACCACACGACATTCGAAAATTCTTCACAAAACACACTTCACTATAAACACACTACGTAATAGAGGCGAGCGTACTCTTCGCAGCTCTCGAATTGACAGTGAAGCCAGCTTCGACGCGAGTTTGCCGATAAGCTCCGCCTTCTGACCGCTGCCGCGCAAAGTGGAGTAGGGTATCCAGCGAAAAAATATAAGATTCATATTCTATTTATATTTCTTAATACTTAATATTTTTAGAGTAATCATTTGAATAGCAAACTATATAAAAACTCATATTTTAATATTATGTAAAATAAATAACTATCTAATATACAAACCTAATTCTGTACTTATATGACAATAAATATTTGAAAATTCAATGCTCTTATGATATTTAAAAGTAGTAAACCGGATAAAAAAAGCTATTTACAATATACGCAGTTAATTAGTAAAAATATTTGTCGCACTATCAACATTGTGAACGTAAACCAACGGCGGTTCGCTGGCCAGCTTACCCCAAAAGAATGCTGTCTCTTTCTTTGCTATATACTCTTTTCTCATTTTAACCTATGACGCGTATTATCAGTGTGGCTATTGAAATAAAACAACATGTTATTTGGTGAATATTTTGGTAAATTTTCTTTGTTAAAATTTGTAGAGAAACGTACAAATCTACAATGTTGAAAATTCTTTTATGATTTTTAATATCGAATAAGTTCATTTATATATTTATTATTTAATGAAAACTTTTACTTATTTATACCTAGTCTAAATATTTTAATGATTAAGTTTAGGAAGTTATGTAATATTTTTTTTTTAATTACAAAAATTAATAAATTTATTTATTAAAAATTCTTATAATGCAATGCATCATAATACATTCGTAAAATAAAACTATCTTATATCGTAAATATTATCATTGAAATCCGTTTCATTTTGTTTTGAAGCTTTCTCGTATAGTCTCCAAAGTGGCTGTTCAACAACCAGTAAGATTTCACATAGATAGAAAACCAAAACCCCTACGAAAAAAAATTTCTCTTAAGTTTTGTCACCATAAATTACTTATTATGTTTTACCTTAGCATTATAGACAGACGGACGAGAGATTATTACTACAGAATAGAAATGATGCGACATGACACTGAATAAAATTTTTGAAGGAAGAAATTTGTACAACGTAAACTTACGCCCGGTTTCGTAAACACTGATCATCGTAGAATTTAACTAATCAGCTGTCAATTGACTTTTCAAATCGGCTCTCGAGAGTATCTGTTCCGAGTACTCACACTGCATGATAATGAGTGATTTAAATACTGATCTTTTAAAAAACTCCCCTCGTTCTCATAAACTTCACACAATCATTGAGTCGGTTAATCTTTCTATACTCTCTCTTAGGGCTACTCACCATAACATTGGCACTGATGACTCCTTGATTGACCTTATTATAACTGCTTCTCCTGATCTTGTGGAGGCATATGGTCAATTTCCCGCGCCTGAGTTCTCGCGTCAGGACCTTATATTTTCTTGCTTTAACCTTAGCTTAAACCTCCCAAATACAGCCCTCCTATTCTACATTTACGCAGTTTTTCCAGGATAAACTTTGAGGTATACATGCGTGATGCTTCAAATTTCAATTTTACGGCACTGGTGGCAGCGTCTACAGTTGATGAAAAAGTTTCTATTCTCAACAACATGGTTCTTAAACTGTATGACACTCATACTCCAGCGCACAATGTTAGATTCAAACGCCCAACCGTTCCTTGGATGACTGAAGAAGTAAGAATGGCAGTGGCGAGACGGAATCGGGCCTTTTGCCGGTTCAAAAGGAATCGCACTGAGGATAATTGGTCTATATTTAAAATAGCTAGGAACAGGTGCAACCAAATGGTACGGACAGCTAAACGCCGATATTTTCATAATAATATTATTAATTCTTCATCTGCTAATGTTTGGAAATTCCTTAAATCTGTCGGTATGGGTAAACCAGCAATGTCGGTGTGATTTTCTCTTTCTTTAGATGATATGAACTGACATTTTTCTTGTACGTCTGCCATGGACCCCGGAATCGGCTCTCAAGCTAAATCATCAATTGCGTCTTTACAACCCTATTTAATTCCCCAATTCAATTTCAGTCCTGTTGATCAAAACGACATTAAGAAGTTTGCGTTAGATATTAAGTCCAAGGCTATGCGCTGTGATGATATCAGCAGGTTTATGATAGTCTCACTAATATACCATCTTCTTCCAGCAATCACCCATATTATTAACTTTTCCCTTGATTGCGGTCAATATCCTACTTGTTGGAAATAAGCCTATGTCCGACCTCTTCCTAAAGTTCCTAATCCTACGCAACCGTATCATTTCCGTCCAATATCAATTCTACCCTTTCTGTCAAAAATTCTGGAAACCTGTGTTCACAAGCACCTTATTTTTAAACAAACATAACCTACCGAGTATCTATCAGTCTGGTTTTCGTTCTGGCCACAGCACTACCACAGCCTTAATCAAAGTTACCGATGACATTAGGCAAGGCATGGAAGAGAAAAAGGTAACTGTGCTAGTGCTTGTGGACTTTTCAAACTTTGACCTTGACATACTCCTTTCCATGCTCTCCCATATTAATTTTGCAGACTCTGTTGTAGAATGGTTTTCATCTTATCTTCGTAGGCGTCAGCAGTCAGTCACCTTGGGGCAAAAAAGCTCGGCTTGGGCTGATGTTGAATATGGCGTGCCATAAGGCGGCATACTGTCTCCCATAATCTTCTCTATTTTTATTAACTTTCTCACTGCTTATTTGAACTGTTCGTATCATTTGTATGCTGACGATCTTCAGCTTTATGTGCAAGCCGATATAGACAACCTTCATGTTGCGATAGTAAAATTAAACGAAAACCAAGACAAAGTTTGGAGTTGGTCAAGTTCTCATGGAGTTTCGGTCAATCCCTCGAAATGCCAAGCTATACTTGTTTGTAGTTCAAGAATGCTGACAAAAATTGATTACTCGTCTGTACCTCCTATTAAATACAATAATATAATAATTCCTTTTTCAAATGTGGTAAAAAATCTAGGTCTGCTTATTGATAATTCTTTGAATTGGAGTGTTACCGAAATAAGCCGCAAAGTTACTGCCACCTTACGATCTCTCTATCGTTTAAAACATTTCCTCCCTTTCAAAACTAAACTTTTGCTTGTCCAAACGCTCATTTTACCCATTATCGATTATGTAGATGTGTGTTACCCGGACGTATCCCAACATCTACTAAACAAGTTGGATTGCCTCCTTAATAACTGTATCAGGCTCATTTTCGGCTTACGCAAGTATGACCACATATCCTCCTATCGATCTTTTTTTTTTTTTTTTTTTTTTTATGGAGAAAAGGGGCAAACGAGCAGGAGGCTCACCTGATGGTAAGTGATTACCGCCGCCCATGAACACCTGCAACACCCGAGGGCAAATGCGTTGCCGGCCTTTTAAGAAAGAGTACGCTCTCTTTTTGAAGGTTCCCAGGTCGTAACGGTTCGGAAAGACCGCCGGCGGCAGTCGGTTTCACAGAGTGGTTGTGCGAGGCAAGAAATGCCTTAAAAATCGCGCTATTGTTGAACGTTGGACATCGAGGTGGTGTGGATGAAATTTTTGGTTCTGGCGCGATGTCCGATGGTGGAATTCAGCCGCCGGGATCAATCCAAACAATTCCTCAGAACACTCCCCGTGATAAATGCGGTAGAAGATGCAGAGTGATCCAACATCTCTACGCAGAGCCAGAGGATCAAGCCGATCGGAAAGACTTTGATCGTCGATAACCCTAGCCGCCCTACGTTGAATGCGGTCAAATGGAAGAAGCTGGTAATAGGGGGCTCCCGCCCAGAGGTGAGAACAGTACTCCACGTGGGGCCGAATTTGCGCCTTATACAGGTTTAGGCGTTGGGCAGCCGTGAAGTACCGTCTCGCCTTGCTGAGCACGCCAAGCTTCTTTGAGGCCAATTTGGCCTTACCTTCCAATTGACCGCGGAACTGGACGTTGCTCGAGATTTCGACGCCAAGCATTCCGATACTAGCTGTGGCAGATAGCGGAGTGTTCTCGAAATGAGGAGTCACGACAAATGGGGACTTTTTCAGCCGGTGCTCCTCTAGGTACCGCAGGAGCTGGCCGTTGATAACAGACTCCATTATCTTGGAGAACAAGGAGGTGATTGGACGGATCAGAGCGGTTGCCTTTTTTAGGGATCGGGTGCACTAACGCGGCCTTCCATGATTTCGGGACTACGCCTAAAGTATAGGAGTGCCGGAAGAGACGCGTTAAAACCGGCGCCAACTCTGGAGCACATGTCTGTAAAACGATCGGAGGGATGCCATCAGGCCCACTCGACTTGTGAATGTCCAAGGAAAGAAGTGCTTTGCGAACTGCACTTTGCCAGAATTTTACCTCCGGCATCGTAACGTCGCACTGGGGGATTGATGGTGGTGAGTTTCCTCGGTCATCCAAAGTCGAGTTGGATGCAAAGAGAGAGCCCAGAAGATCGGCTTTCTCCTTCGCGGCATGGGCCAACGAATCATCCTCCGTGTGCAGGGGTGGAAAAGATGGCTTACAGAAATTCCCTAAGACAGCTTTGGCGAGAGACCAAAACGCACGTGTTACCGATGGGAGACGCGCCAATCTCTCGCCAATTCTGCTAATGTGCTCCAACTTCGCTTTAGCAATAACGCTTTTGAAGGACCTAGAAGCAGAGTTATACTCCTTTTTTAATGCGCTGGTCTTTACATCACTAGACGCCGAAGCTTCAGCCCAGGCTCAGTAGCATTCCCACTTTCGGCGTAATGCCGTCTTGCAGGAACGACCAAACCAAGGCTGGG